GCCCGCTGCCCGAAAATATGTATACTCCGCTGCCCACATCTGCCCTGTAAAATTCTCCTCGTACCGGTCCCCGTTGGCATACACGTGTATCCCCACCCAGATGCCGCCCGGGAGGCGCTACGAGACGAAAGACCCTGCCGCACCTGCAGGTCCGGCAGCAGCTGTGGAGGACCCCTCCCCACCTCCACTATCCGAACCACCCTCCCGGTCTCTGTCTCTCTCACCGGCTGCACCAGTGCCACTACCACCATCATCACCACCGGAACCACTGCCGTTGTTGCTGATCCCTCTCCCGCCGCCCCTGCCGCTACGACTGTACCAAGATACTCCCAGCTGCCGCCCCCACTAGACGCAAACTTCTTATCCAGAGCAGAATAGTTCCCCGTGCCTCCTGTGCCTCTTAGCCTGAACGGCCGAGGGCCAGACGCATACCCCATCCCCGCTCCAGCTGCTGCTGCCGCCGCTGCTGCCGCCCCTCCCCCTCCCCCACCCAGCCCCCAAACGGCAAGTAATGCGCCCAGGAAGGGAGAATACTCCCCCCTCCCCCTCCGCCTCCGCCTCCCCCGCCCCTCGGCCCAGCCCAGCCCCTATTCCCAACCTGCCAAACCCGGTACCATCCGCCACCGCCCGCACCACCACCCGTTTCACTCTTTGCAGCCGCTTAACTAAGAGCCGGGAGCGGGGGAACGCGGTGTGCAGCAGCAGCGCCAGGCGATCGAGAAACGGGGGAAGGCGGAGCGGAGGGCAGCAGCAGCGCCGAGGAGTAGGATAGAGAGAGCTACCAGCTCCACCCAGGTGGTCCCGGGGGGGGTTTCGTAATCCTCCTCGTCTGGCGGAAACCAGTAGAAGACTGAGAGAACCGGAACCCCCGTAGGTGCCAGAGGATCAAGACGAGGGCGAAAAAGAGCATGGCGCTCAGGGTTTGAACGTCCACTCGATGGTGGTGGTCCCATAAGGCCGTTATCGAGTGTGTAGCTGCTGCTGCTGCCGCTGCTGTTGCTGATGATGGTGGTGTACTCGTTATAGAGGGGTCCGGGAGCGAGGATAACGCGGCTGCTTCTGCTAGGGAAGTCAAGCTGCCAATGTTTTTCGTTATTGTTGGGGATTTGGGGATGGAACCGATTCGTCTGAAGCCTGGTCTCTTGGACCCAGACGCTCCTCCCCCTTTGCTGCCTCCTCTTCTCGCCCCCCAAAAACTGAAACCCTAACGTCGTCTCTATAGCATGTATAGCTCGTCCCGGTAGCTTACCGAGTCCCTCTACAAACGCGTACAGCCCCTGGGACGCTGCTGACACGTGGCTGTAATCGTGTGGTGGAATCTTCACGCGCCCTCTCCGCCAATCCTCCTCCGCCTTCTCGTCCTTCTCTTTGGGTTCCTTCGCCCGCCCTTCGGTAACGGTCGCGAGCTCTGCGCTGGGATTGGCTGCTCGCGTTCTAGGGTTTGCTGCCCCGGCCTACCAATCCCAGACGAGGACGCTGTAGCGGGGTCGTCCCATGCGGGCGGGGACTGTGATTGTGATTACTTCGGGGGTGGGAGACGAAACGGGAGGTCCTAGATTCACCCCGCCTAGATTTAATCCGCCTACTCCGGCGCTCGCGCCGCCAATTCCGCCGCTTATTCCGCCGCGAGCTGCGCGCCTTCGGACGAGACGAACGTGGCGCGCTTGTGCGCCGCGGACGGGATCAGCACCTGGTGGTGATGTGGATGGTCCGCCTGCAGCCACGTGGACGTCCCTCCGCCACCGCCGCGCCGCCCGACGGGATGTTGAAGACATGCGGAGAGAAACCCGATGCAACTGTCGCGGTTCCGCCGCCTTGGTCCTCGACGACTGAAGAAGAGCTGGCCGCGCCGCCACCGGTGCCAGTAGTGATGCTGATGGCAGTGCTGGTGTTGGCTGCAGAGACATTAGGGCGCGGAAAAGGCGGGGAGAGGTGCAGGGACGAGGAGGGAGCGGCAAACGCGGCGCTACCTCCGGTGATGCCGCTGCTGCTGCTGGTGCTGCTGGTGCTCCCAGTGGCGCTGCCCCCAGTAATTCCGCCTGGTAACCCTGTAACGGGTAATCCTGCCCCTGTTCTCCCGCCAACGGCCCCTGTAACAGGTAGGCCCGACCCTGGTGTTGCCGAGTACATGGGAGGGATTGGAGTGAAACCCTACCCGCTGTCATGTGACGTGGAGAGAGTGGTGAATGAGTCAGATTGAGGGGTGTCTGAGTCGGAAAGAGTCGTCGCTGAGTCACATTGAAGGGTGGCTGAGTCAAACTGACAGGCGGCTGAGTCGGACTGGGAGGTGATGAAAAGTGGGCTGTTCTAGAAATCAAGATGCGGCCCGGCCCAGTCTGCGACCTCACGCGGCTGCGACCAACGTAGCTGCGACCAACGCGGCTGCGACCTAGTCAATTAAGGAAATGTCGAAGTCGATAACCTAGGAGCCATGATGGCGAGAGTTCACAATTCGCGGTGACGACCAACTGGCAACGGTCCTCTGCTCCTGATTCCCATGATCGAGCAGGTTGACGCCAACACCGGAATTCCCTCAAGCTGAACGTCAACGTCTGTAACCTAGATAGGCGAGCTTTAGATGGCGCATATGCGAAACGACATACACGGTATGGCGGCGAGGGCTTTGCAGTAATCGATGCGCATCATCGGGGAGATATGCTATGGACGTCTTTATTCTTGGAACTAAGGTGAGGCTTTTGATGGAGCTTCCATAATTGCCCAGCTTTAGGATTGAGAGGGAAAAAAATAGATTTCACAAATTCAAGCAGCAGCCCTCACCCCGGTTACTACACTGCATTCAAGGAACGCCAGGAAATCAATCAAACCGCATTCAAACCTTCTGTATCTCAATCATATTGTCTTTGACCCCGTGAAGATTGATAGGTACCAGACTCCTAAGTGGTGGCTGGGAGTGTATGGTTGGGCCCTCTTACAAAGTAAGGAAAAAGAGGTTTTCCTTACACTACCCCCCCCCCCCCCTAAGGAGGTCTTCCTTACGAAAGTGCGTGTACATCCCGAAAATTTCGGCTACGCAGGTACTCGGTGAGGACGGGGTGGTTTTTTATTTTGTCCAGGGGGACCCAATTGTCTTCGGTGGGTGTACGGTCCTTCCAGCGGAGTAAGAATTCGATTCGTCGGGATCCTCGAGGGTTGCGAACTCGGTGGCTTAGGATTTTTTCGGGGGTGATTATCGGTTCAGTTGGTGGTCGCGTCATGCTGGCTGGGCGATTTCGTGGCAGTTGGCTCGTGGACGGGACGTAAGGGCGAAGCAGACTGACGTGGAAAGAGGGGCTGACGTACCAGTCAGCAGGGAGGAGGAGGTGGGCGGTGACGGGTGTGATCATGTGGCTTATGCGGAATGGCCCACAATATCGGGGGCGGAGTTTTGGGGTGACGGGCAGTCGGAGATTCTGGGTGTCGAGCAAAACTAAGTCGTCGGGCTGGTAAGTGATAGGTCTGCGGTGGCGGTCGGCGTTACGTTTAGCGATGATATTAGCTTTTTAAATTGCGTCTGCTGCCCTGGTCCGTGCTGCTTGCAAGATTTCGGCGAATTGTTGTGCGCGTGGAACCGGGTTGTCAGGATTCGGGGTCATGGGTACTGCTGGGTCTTGTCCGTAGTTCAGGTAAAATGGTGACTGTTGGGTCGTAGCTGATGGGGCGTTGTTGTACGCGAATTCGATGAGTGGCAGTTGCTGTTCCCACGTGTTTGGGTCGTCGCACGTGGCCCGGATGAGCTGTTCCATGGTCTGGTTTGTCCGTTCCATCTGTCCGTCTGTTTCGGGGTGGTACGATGAACTAAACTGTAGTCGTGTGCCGAATTGCTGCCACAGGTTCCGCCAGAAGTTGCTGGTGAATTTCGTATCTCTGTCGCTGATGATCGATGCTGGTATCCCGTGTAGTCGAACGACGGTCGAGATGAAGAGGCGGGCTGTTTCTTCGGCTGTGATTGATTTTTTGCAGGCTGCGAAGTGTGCCATTTTCGTCAGTCGATCGACGACGACCAGGATCGCGTCATTTCCACTCGCCCCGGCCGGTAACCCCGTGACGAAGTCCATCGTCACCTGCTGCGAAGCACGCTCTAGTGGTGGGATCGGCTGCAACTGTCCCGCCGGCCGCTTCCGTGAGGACTTCATGATCTGGCAAGTGGGACACGATGCCACGTGTCGCTGCACGTCGGTCAACATTTCGGGCCAGTAATAATACCGCTGCAACTGCTGCCGTGTTTTCTCTACCCCGAAATGCCCCGAGGTAACCCCGTCGTGTGCCTCCTGTAGTAATAATTCCCGTAGTAGTGTGTACCCTGGTACCCAGATGCGGTCGGTCCCAGCTTTTACGTAATAGACTCCTCTGGCTGCTGCGAACTGCTGCGAATTTCCTCCTGTGAAAAATGGGTCTGTTTGATATCCGTGGGTAAATAGTCCTGTCAGTAGTGGGCTGGTCTGGGCGAGTAGTATCGCGTGGATTTGGGCAGTGGGGCGGGTCAGTGCGTCGGCGATGTTCGAGGCTCCTTTTTTATAGGTGACTGTGTAATGGAAATTTGACTCGAGGAAATCGAGCCATCGAATTTGTCGTGGGTTGAGGTGGGGCTGTGCGCGGAGGTACTGTAGTGATCGGTGGTCTGTCCGTACTGTCACGTCTGCGCCGGTCAAGTAGCAGCGCCACACTTTGAATGCATGCACGATCGCAAGCATTTCGCGGTCGTGTATCGGGTAATTTCGCTCGGGCGGATGCAGTTTTCGTGACTCGTTTGCGATGGGCTGTAGGCCGTTGCCGAAGTCTTGTAGCAGTACGGCTCCGATGGCGATGTCGCTCGCGTCAGTAACAACCTCGAAAGGGCGGTGTGGGTCGGCGATGCGCAGGACGGGTGGTGAACAGAGAACATTTTTCAGGGCAGAGAAGGCAGCCTGCTCTTTCTCCCCCCAAGTAAAAACGACCCCCTTGCGCAGTAAATCAGTCAGCGGGGCAGTCAACCGTGCCATGTCGGGGACGAACCGACGCACATAGTTAACGAACCCTAAAAAACTCTACAGCTCCGTGATGTTGGTCGGGGGACGCCACGCTTTTACCGTATCCAGTTTCTTTGGGTCGATTTCAACTCCAGCCTCCGAAATGACGTGCCCCAAAAATTCTAGCCTATCCTGGAAAAACTCGCACTTGGAACCCTTGGTCAGTAGGCGATGCTTGTCTAAAATCGTGAAAACTGCTTCGAGATCCGCTAAGTGCTGCTGCTTGTCCCGACTGTAAACTAGGATGTCATCGAGGTAAACTATGACACACTTGTCTAAAAGCGGCCTAAATGCCTCGTTCATGGTCATCTGGAAAGTTGCCGGTGCGTTGGTCAGTCCGAAAGGCATCACCGTGTATTCGAACGACCCGGACCTAGTCCAAAATGTCGTCTTGGCGCAGTCCGATGGTTCGACCCGAATTTGATGGTAGCCCCCCCCGTAAATCTATTTTCGAAAACACCCGTGCTGTTCGCAATTGGTCTATCAGTTCGTCGGCGCGGGGGATGGGATATCGCGACTTGACTGTTACCCTGTTCAGTGCTCTGTAGTCGATACACATGCGAAAACCCCCGTCTTTCTTCGGCGTGAACAGTATCGGTGCGGCGAATGGTGACGAGCTTGGTCGGATGAATTTCTTCTCTAACAGGTAATCTAACTGCTTCCTTAGCTCGTCGAGCTCGGGCTGTGTCAGTCTGAACTGGCGCTGTACGGTTGGCTGTGCCCCTGGTTCTAATTCGATTCGATGATCGTGCGCGCGCTGAGGTGGCAATCCTTCCGGTAGATCGTCGAGAAAAATCCCGGAGTACCATTTCAACAGTTCCTGTAATTCGGGCGGTACAGCTTCCAGCAGTTTCTTGAAATCGCTCGATTGCTCTACTCCCCCTACTACTGCGATGTCTACTGCGTACACGTCAGCTCCAGCAGCGACAGCCCGTTTCAGTGTGACGGCGTTGACGTGTATCGTTGAAGACTCGGGCGACTACCAGCGAGGTAGTTGAACCCAGTTACCATTAATTCGCACGGTGCAGCTACCCGTCGTCCAGTCAATTCGCGGGTTATACCGTCGCAACCAATCACGCCCCAATAAAATTTCGTGCCCATCCAGTGTCGTTGCGAGCATTTCCTGTGTAAACCCGAAATTTCCCCCGCAGCGGACTTTGACCCTCTCTACTTTCTCCCGTATGGCCAGCGGCGTGCCGTCGACTAAGCGTGCGTCTATCTCCGGTAAACAACGGTTAAGTGTCAGTTGCAGCTTCCGTGCAGTTGCGGTATTAACTAAGCTGTGGCTTGCTCCTCCGTCAATAAAAATCTTCACCGCTGCTCCCTGTATTTTCCCGTGGATCAGTACTGGGGAATCCGTCGCTGTACCCTCCTTATTCATCCGAGCCCGATCGATGGCGTCAATCGGTACTGTGACTCGGTGAGGGTCGGTGTGGTTGGGCGAGCAGGCAGTCTCGTCAGTAGTTGGCCCAACTTCTACTGACTGCTGGCGTTTCCCTGCCTCTAAGACTCCCTTCCCTGCTCTGCTCCGCGGCGCCTTAGCTCCTCTGGGCATTCGCTCTTGCGATGGCCCGGCCTGTTGCAAGCAAAGCAGCGCCCCTTAAACGGCGCAGCAGCTGCGTTCGTCGCAACAGCGTGTACAGTGGCGTGCTCGATCGGTCCCCGAGGGCGATGTCCGTAGTAGGACCCCGGTCTCGGACGGCGTAAAATGTCGATTTTCTCGGCGAGCGCGAGGATCTCGTTGAAGTTCGAGAGCCCGCGTAGCATGATTTCGTGCGAGATGTCCGGCTTCAGTCCTCCAACGTAACGGTCTATCCGCTCCGCCTCGTGCATGTAGCCGACTTGCTCGCATAATGCAAGAAAACCACTCGTTAGTCTTGAACCGACCCAAGCTGCCGCCAAGTACGCAGTTTATGACGCGCCGTAATGGAAGCCGCGATCGGCTCGAAGCGCGCCCGAAGCCCTGCGCACCACGCATCCCACGTGCTGTATTGGGCGGTTTGACAGAACGAACTCCAGGTAACAACTGGACCCGTGGGCCCTCCCTCTTGCGACGGTGGCTCGTAGGCGCGTGGCGACGTCACGATGACTCGCCACCAGTCCATGGCGGGGCCCCTTAGCAGC